ATTTTAAATGCCCAAAATACTTTTCACATACCTATTAGATCTATAATGCCCCTAGCACCCACTAGAAGCTTCTTGTAGGTGCTTCCAATCCTTACATACTTAATAGATATGCAAGGGGCTTTTATGGACCTATTACGTCCGTAATGCCCCAAGCACCCACTTGGGTGCTTTTGGGATTCCAAAGAGCACCTACGTAGGGTCTTTTATAAAGGGACCTTACAAAATCTATTATGTCCTTAATGCCCCAAGTACTCACTTGGGTGTAGATTTACTCAACCGCCCAAGTAGGTGCCAAAAGCATTGTGGGCCTAATAGCTTTATAAAGGCCCTTTACAAAGTTATTAGGTCCATGAAGGGCATTCTTGGATGTTGAAATAAATCATGAAAAAAGGATATAGGCATAATTTTTAAGAAAAATAAGCTATTTATAATTTTTTTTAAAATAGAGGGATATTTTTGATAATTTTTGTTTTTTATTCTTATTCAATAAAAAAGTAGAAAAATGTGCTTATCACCTAAGAAAATGAATCAAACGAATCTACTCAGGCTCTCAACTCTTTTTATTTTTTTTGAACAAATTACATTAAGAGCCATGAAGCCCATAGGCATACACATAAAGAAACGCAAGTAACTTGGAGGGAGAAATCGGTTGTTGGGTGAATAAAAGATGTAAAGGAATGATTGAAAACCTTTTTTTTCTCCTTTTTGGCATTGGAGTTGAGTATACTGTTTAGATGAATATTTACTAAAGTATTCGAAACCAGTGCGAAAATAGGAGAAGCTAGAGGGTCAGTAAATAAATAAATAAATAAAAGGTTGTGGTTTGTATAAGGCTGAGGCTCTAAACAATCAAAGTAAAACACATCTTCAAATGGAGTGGAAAAATATTGTTTCAATTCTAAAAATCTTTGTGATGGCCTGAAAATTTATTTTCATAACTAATTATAAAATTTAAAGCTTAAAAAATAGTGTAGGTCGAACAAATATACTATTACTTTAAAATATTAAAAATTGACGGTCCAAGAAATGCATTAGAAGATGCACTATTTTTTAAAACTGAAATCCTTTTTTATTTTTTATGTTCATACTTCTTGAGATCGAAAAGATCGATTTGAGGATTTTGGGTATCAAAAAAACTTCTTCTAGTGAATTTTTGATGTACGCCTTAATTGATTGTTCAGGGCCTCGCCTTTATATAAACATTTTCCTAAAGGCACAAGAGTTATAAAGACTAGACCGGATCCGACAAATCAGAACATCAACTGTAGACCTGTTGGTTGAGTTGGGGGGCCTCCACTGGTAAGGCCTTAGACCTCACAGGACTGGAATTTGGGAATACTTAGTTGAATCTAGTGACTTATAAGTCCACTAGATTCATGCTAGACCACAATGTTTCTAGGTGGAAATGGAACTTTTCATATGTTGTTTCTGCCAATTTTAGCTAGATTTTTTTGTCCTTTTGGACACATTTAGGGGCGTTTGGTTCGAAAGCACTTTTTGGGTGGGATTTGAGCATTAAAATATGAGTATCAATCAGTTGACCCGCCGACTTGATGGTCAACCTAGAATGGTTCAGGTCTGGACCCAAATATTAGTGGATTAAGTTCGAGTCCGAATGACACAGACCCTACTCTGGGAGGGTTTATTCTGTGTCCAACCAAGACCTTATTGGGTCAAGTGGGGTTCGTCATGGTATGCCGAATCCAATATGACATGACATTTATATATAATATATATGTATAACTGCAACATGAATTATATATGTAATATAATACTTGCAATGAAATTTATGTCCTTTTATCTAGATCAGGACCAAACTTGCTCTGGTGGGTCCAGTCCATGTCTAATGACACGGACCCGACATGGGCTTGGATCATGTCTCAGTCTAGCTGGGACCCAGTCGGGTTATGTTATAGGTCCAAGTCTACCCAGACTCAATCCAACCCATTAACACCCCTAACCCAAAATCCAAAGTTTAGGGGGAGAGAAAGGTTTTTTTTTTTTTTTTGGCTACAAGAAGTACCATCTTCACCACATTACTCCATAATCCGTCCTTCAATTTAAGCCTTGACTGCCTACAAGAAGGATCTTCAGGTCCAAGGTTTAGAAAAACAGGTAGACATATGACTCAAAAGTTGCACCTCCTCACAAAAACCGGCACTGATTTTCTAAATTCACCAATGAAATAAGAAATCCCAGTCCCCCATTTTCAAAATCAAAAGACTTAATTGCACCAATCAAGTTGTGCAACAAGTCAGTCCCTAGATAACTAGAAGGGAAAATATCAAAAAAGGGGTTGAACCCTTTACAATATCATTAGAGGGGTCAAAAGGTTACAAGTATAGCTTGAGAGTATGCTTTTATTTCTATATTAATCAGGTACGTTCTCAAAATTTCCAATTGCCCCTGTTTAGTATTGAGCAGTGAGAATAGTTAAATGTACTTTGGTAATTTTAACTAATTATCATTTGGTTAAGGCCTTTTTGGAAGTAAAATTATCAAAGTACTTTTTATTGTCCGGGCTTTGCAACACCAATTATGGGCAATTTGATAATTTAAAATTTTTTTTGGATGATGTACCTTAATGATATGAAATCTAAAAGCATACACTTAAATCTAATTTGTGATATTTTGACGCCTTCAGTGATATTGTAACAGGTGTTAATAAAATGACTCATGTTCCAATGCTGATATTTTGTTGGAACAGAGATCTAAATATGTACATGGAGCTCATAATCCAAGTTGAACAGTTCAAATAGAAGTTAAATAAAAAGTTTCAGAATATAGTTAAAGAAACAATGGGTGTAACCTAGTGACAAAGACCCCAAGGTGATGAAGGCTAGATCGTCACCGTCCATCGAGTAATAAAAAGAGATGGTTGCTTTCCTATGTTAAATTTGGTCCAACATCACTTGGTCCTAATCCTATTAAAATAGAGACTATTTTATCTCCCTTAACACAGGAAATAAATATACATTGCGTAGGGATTGGGCTTGGGCTTGAGTGGTTAGCAGCTGATGTCAAGCAATGCTATATTTCAAGTTCGATTCCTACCACTACAATACCCCAAAAAAAAAAAAAAAAAAAAAAAAATTTATAAGCGGGCTAGTCAATCCTATCAAATTCAAAATTCCATTGGACTCTTATCTCCTATATTGAAATGGGTTTTCTTTTTGTGGCTGTGCATTAGAACTTGGTAGCGTAAGGAACAATAGTAATATGGACCATGGACCATACTATACGTTCCCACATTCTTTTAAGGGTTTTCCAAGAGACTTTCAAAGAGCTGGCATCTAATTGAGCATATGCTCTTTCATGTATTTAATCGATTTTGGAAACATTTGTCTCATAAATTCAAATATCACAAGGTTAGGCCTCATAGAATATGAAGCAGCAAATAAGGAAATTGAAGGGAAAAAGGAAAAAGTGTAAACATTATTTAAGAAAAATGGTTTGATTGGGCTGAGGCCCTATCAAAGTAAGCAAAGTCCCAGCTCATAACTCATAAAAAAAATTTCAATTCAAGCATTGGAAAACATTTATCTTGATCATCTCGGCTTGAATATTATCGTTGCAAAAAAAAAGAAGAAGATTTCAAGCTCTAAAAATAGTGTATATTGTAAAAATTATCTAGACCATCATTTAACATTAAAAATAAATATTCATAGATCTGCAAGATCTGTATATTTTCTTGAGTTTCAAATTTTACTGTCAGTGTTGAAAATTGATTTTAAAGCCATCTTGAAGGTTTCTGTTACTGAAAGTGCTTTCCAGATGATGATTTGAGGTGAGGCTTTATTTTGTTTTCATAAAGCCTAGGCCTTATTGAAATGACATCCTTAATTAGAAAAGCCAAAAGATTGTTCCTTACCATTTTGGCTTAGCAGTAAATATATCCATTTAAGAAGTTAAGAGTTTGAATCCTTGAAGTTTATCACAAAACACAAATGAGTCATGACATATACTTTTCATTTGAAAGCCAAAAACTTATACACCCTTGATAGGGGTAAAAGCCTATCTAGGAATATCTTCAGGATCCCAGACTTTAGGGAGGTAACCTCTTTAAACTAGGAAATAACCTATAAAAAAATAAAATAAAAAACCTGAAAAACAAGACATACACATTCTACATGTGCCTTAAAAATGTAATGTCTTGGCATTAAGCACAAATGAGCAAACTTAAGGAGTATTTTTTAGTTGAAAGCCAAAATATTATATGCTCTTGCCAGGGATAAAAACACTATTTAGGGATATCTTTAAGATCCCATATGGATGTAACCTCTTCAAGCTACTGAAAAACTAGAAAAAAAAAAAAATCGTACACATTTGACTTATTCGACATGTGCTTGCAAAATGTAATATCCCAAATTTTCAAGACTCAAGAGAGATAAGTCTAACTTATGGATGATCAAATTTAAGTATTTAGGACCTAAAAATAAAAAAAAGACAGGGTTTCTATGGGTCAACCAACTCATATGTACACATGTGTACCCCCTCTAAAATTGATCTTAAATATGGATTTTTATCAAAAAATTCAACGATTTATGATCTAGGCTAAAATAATTATGAATATGTAAAAGACAAAATTTTTTAAATTTAAAATATGCAGTTTTTGAAGATTTTTTTTTTCCACAGTCTATAGGTATTTTGGTCCAATGCACTTTAAACAAAGTTAAGAAGGACCTTTGGGGGTCAGCAGGCTCTTGCGTTTTCCACATCTAAATATCTTTTTAGAAATTGGTGATTTAGTGATATTATTGTAGATCCCAAAAATTTATATCGAAAAAGTCCTCGTCAGTAGCTCTTTTGCTTGAGGGAGTAAGTTTTTAGCTTGTTCCAGTCGGAGGGCGACATGCCCTCTGCAAAAAAAAAAAAATTAAAAAATAAAATAAAATAAAAATAAAAATAAAATGAGGACGCCCTAAGTTACTAACACTTTTGTCTGATAAGGAACTCGACCTTTGTCAACCAAGTGACGATTTAAAAGAAAATTTATCAACTAAAAAACAAAAGAGAAAATAAGTCTTCATCTCTTACTGATATATACAAACAAGGCCCAATAAGAACATAGAATTAATAAAACAAAAAGAGTTTAAACTTCAACCTTTTAAACCATCAATACTCCCGCCTTTTTTGACCGTTGAAGTTTTCCCGCCACGTTTGAGCCTTATCACTATCACTTTCAAACACCCGCACGTGCCGTGCACAAGAATAAACCTACATACCGAATATTGGATTCATATGCAATGCCTCGAATTCAACACACACGCTGCCATCGGAAAACATCTCCACCGACCATCCGTATCACCACCCTCCCCAGTGATGTAGATGGTAGAGATCTCACATTTGTGTGGGCACACGTGTGTACAGGTGGGGGGGCAGTCTAGGGGTGGCTATTGCCTTAACTGAGTGCATCATGTACGTCACCAGGCCAGGATTTTCCGACATGTCAATGCTAGAGGGGTCCACACCATCTGGCGGGGCCCATTTGAAATGGTGGAGTAAGTGCCCTAACATTGATTGGACGAGGTTGAGCCCGAGCTGAGCTCCAGGACAGACTCTTCGACCCGCTCCAAACGGTAGGAGCCTAAAGTCATGGCCCTTGATATCTACATCCTCTTCTAGAAACCTCTCAGGTCGGAATTCTAAGGGCTCCTTCCATGCAGTTGGGTCTCGTGCTATGGCCCAAACGTTCACGAGCACGTTAGAGCCTTTAGGGATGTCATAGCCACCGATTTTCACGTTTGCAGAGGCTTTGTGAGGAAGCATGAGAGGGGTTGGGGGGTGAAGGCGCAGGGCCTCCTTAGTGACGCAATGGAGGTATGGAAGGCGAGGAAAGTCGGCCTCTGTCATCACACGCTCATGACCGATGACTGAGTCGAGCTCCTCCTGAGCCTTAGCTTGGACTCTAGGGTTTCGGATTAGCTCTGCCATTGCCCACTCAACCGATATGGCCGTCGTGTCCATGCCTGCTGTTATCATATCCTGCATTTCCTAAAAATATTAGATTTTTGAAGGACAAGAGTGAATGCAGAACGAGAGGAAAAATGATCAAAATACCCCTATTCATGTGTAGAATTGAGAGAGATCGGAGTACTCCAAATCACAAAAAGAATAGAAAATGTCAACCAAGAAATGATAAAAAATATCCTTAATCATGTGCCGGATTAAGGATAAAGTATACTTAAAAATGATAAAAATACCCCTAAACATGTGTAAGGAGACAGCATGCATGCAGACAACAAACATTGTAAGTCAGGGGATCTCACACACCCAGAGCAAGCCGATGATGGTGTCCTCACTCAGGTCATACTGCTCTTGTAGCGTGAGCAACGCATCGACAAAATGTTGCTTAGCACTGCCTGACTCCCGAGCGCGCGTATGCTCGTCCATGATGGCACGAGTGAGCCGGTCCCTTCGGGCCCCATGCTTGGCAAAGGCCTCCTCCTCAAGGGGGAACATCCACCTTAGCCATGGTATGTGCTCGGCCATGGCTAGGGAGGCTCCCAGCTTGAGCCCTGTGGCCACAATGTCCTTGAATTCCTTCCCTTGTTCATCCATGATCCCTTCTGCGTTCACAAAACGCTTTCCAAATGCTAGCCTTGTGATGTTGTTGAAGGCCACAGATCCTAAGTAGTTTTTCACCACTAGGCTCTCCCCTGTTTTTCCTATAAATTCATGAAAAAAAAAGAGGAAAAAGTTTATATAAGGTTGCAACCTTAAAATGTATAACTACGGATGCACTTCAAAAATCCACGGAAAAAGTTGTTTTAATGTCCAAAACCTTTTGATTGATCATCTCGACATCGAGATATATGAATATGAAAAATAAAAAGATTTTAAGACTCAAAAATAGTACATCTTACAACATATTATCTAGACCATCCGTCCATTTTCAAAATTTTCATTGTTTATGGATCTAATTGATTTTAACCATTATTGGAATGTAACGAGTGGTAATGTGGCTTAATTGGAACATAAAGTCCATTGCACAATGGGCCTATACTATTTGTCTACTACATGTAGCATAATACTTAAAGAACGAAGAATTTAGTAGTCGTATTCCACAGGTAGTGGTGGGGACTGGGGACACGACACTCCTTCTATTGGTACTCCTAGTTTTGAATATTACATTGTCCGGGTATTGAATTTGTAATTAAAATGAAAAAAAAATTATCAAAATATCTATTAGAGATATGCTATTTAATAGCTTATCTATTTGCAACTATTCCCACTCATGATCATGTGTTTGTTTGTACGAATTTTAAAATTCAAAGCAAATTCTATCGGTAAAATGTTAAATAGTTTACATCTTATAAGTATTTTGATAAATTTACCTAAAAGTAAAATTAAATATGAAATGAAATTTTGGCTACCTAAGGACTCGGGTTCAACCTATTGGACGTATTCACTCTTATATGCTAGTCGACATACAAGAGTGATTTTGATATATATTTTGGACTTTCTACGTAGTCGATGAACATTCCTCACCACTCAATTTCACTTCTAACAATTATTATCAATAATGATTGTAACCTCTTTGTATCAAAAATAAATGGTCTTATTGTGTGTATCTGTATGTGTGTATTAAGGTATTGAAAAATACTCTTGCTAAGATTTCGTCGAAAGGAGCAAACACACATGTTGCTTCCACGGGACTATACAACCTTTTCCTTTGTTCGATACACATGTACAGCAATAACTCATCTCCACCATCCGTCAATGAGGATGGCCAGCATGTGTATCGTACATCATATGCAGTGTTCTAAAACCCGGATCGACCACGTGAACCACCAATCTGGAAAACCGGCCCCGATCCAGGATCCGACCAATTCTTCTTCGTGAGAATCGGTCAATAAAAAAGAAGAACTAAAAATATTTTTTTAAAAAATACCCAAACCTTTTACTTAAATAAAAGCCATCCATGAAAATCGACGGGCGAGATTAGTAACTTATGAAATGCCAAGTAAGCCTGGTATATGTAATGATTTTTTACTCTTTTTTTCTTTTTTCTCACTAGCTCAGTAGCTTTCAATTATCCTTTATGAACCTTTATGTTTTATTTATTTTTGGGTAAATTCACGTAGTACTCAATTATCTTAGGGCCCCACTTGGGTGATTGGGTTTAAGGGTGATTCTCAAGAAAATATCAATGTGAAACCGTCATGTATGACTCAATCTCAACCGTTGATGCCCTACCAGGGTTGGTGGCGATCTGGTCCCACTTGTTCACAAGGATGACTTTGATTAGTTTTGGCGGTTCCAAATTTCTATAAATTTCCTAGTGAAAGGAAGTTTTTTGCACCGACTTTTCGGGCTATCACACCAACTCCTAGTTTTGTGCCATTCATTGGTACAAGGGGTGGCAATAGGGACCGGCGGGTTGACCCGAATCGGGTTCAGGTCTAGGTCTAGGTGATGGACCGGATAGGTTGGGCCTGGGGTCCAATCACTTGGATCGTATCCCGACCAGCCTTTCCTTGGGCCAACCCTTGTCCCAATAGGGCCGACTATAGCACTGTTAAGGCCGGGCCGGGTAAAAAACAAATAAAAATAAAAAATAAAAAAAACTGAGCCAAACTGATAAAAGGAAAAACAAGCCAAACTAGCCCAAGCCTTAATTTTTATGGCCGAACTTAGCAGCCCACCCCTAATGTCATTAGCCCTTTTTTCAAAATTCTGTAAGCCACACATTAAACCAATGTGGTCAGATTTGCTTCGGAGTCTTCCTAGGTCCGGTGAGAAAAATGAACAGTTCGATGCTTTGGCCAATTCAAGAGAAGGTTTTGGAATGTTTTATTTTAATTTAATATATAATATATTTATATTTATATATAAAATATTAAACAATAGAAAAAATAAAAATTTAAAAATTTAAAATACTTTTATATAGGTACGTCTTTTATGGCCGAAGCAGACCCGAAGTAAACTGAAGCAGCCTGAAACAGCTCGAATTTGACCGAAGCAGAAGTATGCTTCTATTCGCTTCGATTTCTACTTAAAATCTAGAGGTTTCGGCCTCTTCGACTAAAGTGAAATGAATTTAATAACATTGCATTAAATTTCATTCTCTAATTCTAGCACCACAAACTGTTAGAGAAATGGAAAAGGAAATACCATGAGCCTAGAAAACTAGATTTGTCCAAACAAAAGGACAGTTATATCCCTGATAAAAAACATTAACATTTTGAAAAGGAAAAAGTTTATATAAGGTTGCAACCTTAAAATGTAGAATCACAAATGCACTTTAAAAATCTATTGGAAATGTTATCATAATGTTGAATAAACTTTTTAATCGATCATCTCGACATTGAGATGTATGAATATGACAAAAAAAAAAAAGTTTTTGAGTTCCAAAAATAGTGCATCTTGCAACACATTATCTATACCGTCAATTTTCAAGATTTTCATATATTTATAAATCTACTTGATTTTAACCATTTTTGAAATTTAAAAATTTTTAATTAAGTATAAAAATAGATTTTAAAATAATACTAAGAAGTTTTTATTACAGAATTACATGTTATGATAAAATTAATTGGATTGTTCAAGCTTTCATCCTTATAGAAACCGCACCTTTTTTAAAAAGACAACATTGTTTTCGTATTATTGGTAATGGGACAAATCGACACGCTTCCTTGGACCGAGTTAAGAAGTGGTTGGTAAACCTAAAAATGATTCCATCCAGGATTACATAAAAAACTAAAGCTTCAGGTTTAAGATCAATTATGACAATTTTTTATTAGAAGATGAATCATAAAATAAACTTTTTTTTTTAATCATGAACTGTTGTTATCACAAAAGATAGCAACTTCTCCATTATCTATCCAACAAATTGAATAACAAAAAGACAAAAAAAAAAAAACAGGAAGAATAAGTCAATTTACTGATAAAAAATAGTAAACGGATGAGCCTTGCAAGAAAGAGGCAGGATGAAGCATCAATACAAAACCTTCGTCCCGTCTTCTAGAGACAATAGTGAAAAGATGAATTATCTGGGCCTTAAAGATAGAGGTAGCCATGGACCCAGACCCTCGGACCTGAGGGGTAGACCCGATCCAAGTCCGGATATAAATTTAAAAATTGGATCTCGCGGGGTCCAAAGTTTGGACCCGAACACTATTTGAGTCCGATCAAGTGACCCATTGCCACCCCTACCCCTACTTTCAAAAAAATCCAAAGCGTGTTAGACTAAGTCTTCAAAAAAATCCAAAGCGTGTTAGACTAAGTTACATGTGCTATTATCTCATACATACATATGAATTATCAAAAATATGTTTTTTAACATTGGTTTTTCATAGTATTATTTAAATAAAATGAGAATGTCGGATTTTAAAGGATATTAAGTAAAAAGATTTTTAAAAAAAATCTAAAAAAATATTTTAGTTTCTAAAATATCAAATACAAATATTCGTATCGAAAAACTAAAAAACAGACGTATTGGTGTTAAACACCCATCATCCAAAATGTAAGAGAGAGAGAGAGAGAGAGGAGGGTTAGCACACCTAAATCGTCCAAACAAAAAAGAAACACACAGAGTGCACCCATATGATCAAGAGAGAGAGAGAGGCACGAACCTGGGCTCACACAATCCTTATAGATGGACTCCACCATGGCTGTGACCTCATCCTCCCTTATGGACCTCAAAGCCTCTAACCTCTTTGCAGTGAACAGCTCCAATGTGCAAACCTTCCTGACCTTCACGTAGTGAGGCCCATAATCGGCCCAAATGAGGTCCTTCCCATCTCTGCTAAATTTAGCAGATGATCTGCTCCGAGGCCTATCTGCCAATTGCTGGTCCTTCTCTTTGAGAACCTCTCTTGCCAAGTCTGGTGAAGAAACCACTACATCTAGAGTGCCTCCAAACCAAACAGACATTATCGGGCCATAGTGTTGAGCCCACTCTGCAAAACACCTGAACCTGACTGGTTTAATGTCATATAAGTTTCCAACCACTGGCCATGGCCTAGGTCCTGGAGGGAGCTTGTATCTTAGGCTAGAGATGAGCTTTAGAAGGAGGAAGAAGATGGTTAGGGTGAGGAGAGAGATGGTGGGTAGAGAGAGAGAGGAGAGTGGAGAGAGAAAGTCCATTGTGTTGGTGGTGGTGCACTGCAAGGATTGGGTTTTGGGGGTATTTATGTGTTATGAATTTGGTGGTAGGTGAGGAATTCTGCTTTGTGTGTCTTTCGCCTTTTCTTTTTCTCTATTTTTAATTGATTTCATATGATAATGAGGAAATGGTGAGGTGCCGTGTTCTATTTTTCTCTCTCTTCAAATGGTGCTGTCTCTCTCTCTCTCCCCTCTCTTTCTCTCTCTTCAATAGGTGCATGTCCCCTCTCTCTCTCTCTTCAAATTGTGCCATACCCCTCTCTCTCCTCTTCAAATTGTGCCATGCCCCTCTCTCTCTCCTCTTCAAATGGTGCTATGCCCCTCTCTTTCTTTCTCTCTCTCTCCTCTTCAAATGGTGCTATGCCTCTCTCTCTCTCATGAAAATCACCTCATCTTTTGTAAACACTCATTTCCCCACCAACCCCCTGCATCCACCGCTGGTTTAATCAAAAGCTCAATAGAATAATTGCCTTCATATGAAAATAGTTGAAATTTCATTACAACCAATTGTGTTTATAAAAATTATAATTTATAATATTTCTCTGTTTAATGATAGTATCATTCAAGAGAGAGGAAGAAAAGGCATGTATATATTATTTCCTTTTTTGGTACTTACTATCATTGGATATATAGAGATAGAGAGAGAGAGCAAAATGTATAATCCCGTTTTTTTATTACTTATACACACCATTGGAGAGAGAAATAGAGGATATATGTATTATCCCTATTTTTTATTAATTATCTCTTGGGAGAGAAGGTAACGGTATTTCTAATTTTATAGGTGTTTTATATCTACAAAAATTTGTAAAGAATTTTACTAAATGCTTTCTATGAATGGTGACGTCCCTTTCCTACAGTAACGACCTATACCCCGCAAACTACCAAATTTGGAAGGCGGTTCTTTCTCTACACCTCAGGACAGTCCATGCATAGGACCAAACTTTAATCAGGGAATTTTTGGTAAAGGGAAAAGTTTATATAGAGCCGAGGCTCTAAACAATCAAATTAGAGCTTACCTAAAAAGTTTTACTAGAAGAGGCTGTTTTGATTCCCAAATATCCTCAAATTGATTTTCTCGACATAAATATGGGGAAAAAAAAAAAAGATTTCAAGTTTTGGAAATAGTGTATTTTGTAAGGCATTTTTGGACCGTCAATTTTCAAGATTTCCAAGTTTTTATAGATATGTCGATCTACACTATTTTTTAAGCTTTAAACTTTATATATAAAGATGAAAATATATTTTAAGTCTATCACAATGATTTTCAATATTGAAACTACATTTCTCGATACTATTTCAAGGTTGGCTCTAATTTGGTTGTTTAGAGCTAGGCCCTATACAAACCACACCCTTTAGTAAATACCTATAAAAAGATGAATTATTTAATAGTAACTTCTTAAAAGTATTCCAAGACCAAGACCAAGACCATATGTTTTTTATGGGTTTTTGTGGATTTAAATGGTAAAATTTTAAATTGTTAATTTGAATTTGATCATTTTTCTAAAATTTATAATCCCATGACAGCTCAATATTATGGTTTTGTGTAACTTTCGAAAAAAAATATTATTAATTAAGGTGGGTTTCAAATCCCCATTTCAAAAAATTCTTTTAAAAATAGGTTATGAGCTTTGGTCAATACTTGTTAAATAGACCACCGCAACAATAAGTAGTTTGCCCAGTGTCCATTTACTTCCCTCACGTAAAATTCATTTTAGGAATAACTTGGTGATCCCACACCTTGGGCATCTAACCTCTTCAATCCTAGACCAACCTCGATAAAAGAAATTTCAAATTACACTCTTTATACACTTGAAAAAAATAATATCTCAAAATTTAACATACGCTATCCAATTTTTTAAGGTTGAGATCTAGGTGTTAAAAAAAATCCAAAAATCCAAAATTCAAAATTTTTTCATTTAAAATACATCCAGTGATTTTTAAGTGGTTATAAAAATTTAAAATTGAAAAAAATTCCCAATTAGTTCATCTAAGTGAGGGAGTTATATGTCAACTCTAAAGAAGACTTATTCGTGGTCACATGGGAGGATAGAGGGAGAAACTTGCCTGTAATCTGAGAGCATACAAGCAAATCATGGGAGTACAGAGTGAGAGGGCTTTTATTCAAATTGGATTTTTCTTTTAACTTGATTTTCTCAAACGCAATTGTCTTGTTTAAAACGCACACATTGTTAATCTTTAGACTCAAATGATTAATGTTATTGGGGATTTAGTTAAGTCAAAACCGATCCCATCATTATTAAATTGTAAAAATATAAAAAAAGAAATAATAGTTTAGAAATATGTAATATGGTAGAAACAATTGTCTAAAGTTGGAAAAAAAAAAAAAAAAAGTAAAGAAATGGTATGAACATAAATAACTAACTTCTGAAGGGTTTTTTGTTATGCTGGTAAGATATTAGTGTAAATTTGAAATATTCAGAATTCAAAAACTTAAAAGCACTAAATATGAGTTTACCTGAGGGAGTAAATAAATAATATGTTCCTCCCTGGGGCATATTATCTCGTGGGACCAAAAAGAGCGAGTCCTAAATAAAAAATTCGTGGACTTTTGCACACTTCTTTGTTCTCATGATCTCACCCTGCATTTGACTGGAAACATTTCCATAGCTTTGCCCAAGGAATACAAAAATCATTGGGCGTGTATGCTATACTTCTGCTCGAGTATAACATACACCATCAGTCAAGGAGAAGACTAATTTGAATTTGATAAGATTTTGGTAACCACCTAAAAATATTTAGCTAATTATATTTTTATAATTTTGAGTTTTTTGACACTTAGATCTCACTTTCTAAAAATTCGACCGTTCTAATCAATTTTGAGGCATTATTTTTTCAAGCCCATAAAGAACACAACTTTTAAATTATTTTTGTTGAATATAACACATAGGTTGAACTCCTAAAAATGCTTTTAAATCAGGTTTTCTCTAAGGGAGTAAGTAAACACTGTGGTCCATTGGGAGCATAAAATCTTTTGGCAAAATTTCAGCACTAAATTCGTAATTGAATTTGGAAAGAGTAATCCATAATCTTTCCGTTTGTCAAGTTGACTATTGGAACCTTCGCTCCAAAGGCCAAAGCGTACTTTATATAATGACCAAAATACCTTAGTTATGTTCACTTTATTTCGAATTTAAATTAAAAATTGAATTTATGTTTTACTTGAAGTATATTTTGATAAATTCGAAAATTGTTATTTATTATTATTATTATTAACAGTGGGATTGGAGGGTGGGAGGTTATGTTGAAGCATCAATCCCCCAAGCCACCCCTATAATTTATCAAATTACAATTATAAATTGAATTTATGGCTTATTTGAAGTATATTTTGATAAATTTGAAAATTATTATTATTTTATTATTTCTAATGGCAAAAATAGAGGGTGGGATGTTATGTTAAGGCATTAGTCTCGGAATGGAGGGTGGGACATTTTGTTGAAGTATCAGTCCCCCAAGCCACCGATGCCCCAACCTCATTTCCAATATTAGGACATCAAAGACACAATATTCATTGTGGGTTTGTTGTATCTAAAAAGCAGAATTGGATTGGGTTTTAACCCATATTATTACGATTGCACTTCCATCAAATAGATGAGGGGTTCTGTTAAAACCAGTCCGATCATTAATAAAATCAATTGGATTATTTTAAAAAAAAATTAAAATATATAATATATTAAAAAATTACCCTTTATTTTGTCTTTACCGAATTGGCCAAAAGTAACCAGTCCAAACAGCCAAAACAAGCTAAATGTTGAGTTCAATTAATTTTTAAACAAACTCATTTTGTAATTTGGACTAGATTCGCCACTACCCCGATTGCCAATCAAACCAATCAAATTAGTTCATTCGGTCTGATCTTGCTATATTTTTTCCACCAATGTTTTTTTAACCAAGATTTTGCTTAAATCACAGCAATTTTTTCTTGATAAAGCATAATAATGGATCAAGATTTATGTAGCCGTTCCTAAATAATTGAAAAAAATATTTTAGGATGACGATTAAAAAATATGGGTTTCGTTAAAAAATTTGAGGAAATGAATTTTGTCGTTGGGTAGGTGCCAGATGGAATATGAAATGAGATTTACAATTTAGTTGGGAAGTCGAGGGTATTGTTGTCCAAAACAATTCTGGCAAGGTGCAGTGGTTTAGATTGACGAGGAAGAGGTTAGTGGTGGGTCAACTTGGGGATGTGGGTGTGGGACCCATGCGGGTTGGTCAGGTTTGGTGAGTGAGGACGACGCAACACGTCC